ACACTTCCTGCTTGATTGCCCCAAAGGGGTTTTTATTCTCCTTATAAATGTATTCATTTGGGCCAGATGTTGCCATATGCAGAGCACCCATATTATAGTGACAAATACTATCAAAATTTAAACAGAAAGAACTCCCACTGATTCCAATAAGATCTATGAACATAAAGCACCTGCTAGGATATCTATCAGTGGCATATACTGTCACAGAGGAAGACTTAATCTACTTTTGGACCACAGAATTTATTCTCGTGAAGGGAAAGAACCAATGGGATTGGTAAAAGCAGTGGAAGTAGGTGCTATAAGTCTATGCACCTTAGCTCACCAACCTAAATCTGTCCCCCACATCCTTGAGCACCTCTGAAAACAAAGACCACCAACTGTGTCAAGGAGCTTTCCTGAAATGTAAACGCTGCTTTTATGAAAGGAGTAGGAAGGAGGGGGGAAAAAAACATGTCTACATGGGAGTAGGAAAAACTACACTTTTGATTTAATTAACTTGAAACTATTTCCCATAGTTTCCCTCAGTGAGGATTCTTTCATCCTTTGTTATAAGCCTCTGAACAATAGTATATTGCCCCAAAAAAGGAAATGTAAGTCCTATTTTACAGTATTATTCAATGCCTAGTACTGATACTTCGGCTTACAAGTCCACTGAACACTTTTATAACATAACTAGCAAATTGCCCGTCAAGAATGATGGAAGGGGGTGGGGGGCAGGTTGGGACAGAGGCCTGCATTCAGCCCCTGGCCCCATCCCCCCTGCCTCGGACCGGGGCCAGAGCCATTCCCTGCCTCCCCCCCGCAACTTCAGGTCGAGGCCGGGGCCTGTGCCATTCACCCCCTCCCCTTTGGGTCGGGGCCTGGGCCATTCCCCGTCTTCCCCCTCTGCTTTGGGCCAGGGCAGGGACCTGGGACTGGGCTGTACCCCACTCCATTTCGGGCCAGAGCTGTTTCCCCCCGCCCCTTTGGGCCGGGGCCGGGCCCACTCCCTGCCTCCCTCTGCCGCTAGGGGCTAGGGCCAGGGCATGGGACTGGGCCGCTCCTCGCCTCACCCCACCACACCATTTCAGGCTGGGGCCAGGGCCTGCGACTGCAGCGGGGCGCAGCCACCAGTAACCACCCCCTCCCACTCCCCTCCTTCCACTGTTCCCTGCCACCTCCGCTGCCTGCCTGCTGTTGTTTTATTGCGGGGGGGCAGGGCCAGTGCATGTGCACTGGCCCCTGACTCCCAAGAAACAGACCCAAGAAGGGCCCCTGGCTCCAAGAGACTGGCCTCGCCCCCTCCCCCGCTCCATCCCCTCTGTTATGGAGGCGCCCCGGTCCCCGCCGTCCCCACTGTCATGACAGCACTCCGCCATCCGTCTGTCTGTGTAGAGCACTCTGACTGGCTGCCAAGACAACCAACCAGAGTGCAGATAAAGCGTTATGGAGAGAGACAGAAGACAGACAGACAGACAAAGGCTTTTATAATATTAGAATTATTACGATGTCGATCGCCAAGATGAGGGAAACGCAATGGGCTTAACATACAAGAGCAAGAATTACCTCACGTGCTCTTTCAGTAGGTTCATAATGGGCTTTTGGCTCAGGGGTATGATAGCTTTGTTTATTCCTTTCTTGCTGCTGCTGTTGTTGTTGCTGCTGCTGCTGCCGCCTATGATCATGTTGCAGCGACAGGAGATAGGCTTGCTCCTGCTGCAACTGACGCTGGAGTCTCTCTGCTTGTCGATGCTCCTCCATTTCTCGCCATCTGTATTCCTTTGGGAAAACATGTAAGGAATTCAAGTCGTGACACTGAACTTGCGGAGGATATTCCCCTAACCAGCCCATTTTTTTTCTTTTTTTGTTAAAAGTTTTGTCTTGATAACTAAGTTGGACCAAACAGGAAGCACATGCCGTTTAGGAACATTGCAAATGTATTGCTAACCTTGGAGAGCTACAGCAAAACCGAGTTCAATACAAAATGATTTAAACCGAATCCAATGTAAACTTCGATAAGCAAGGATTTGGAACAACACAAGG